CCCCGGCCCCGCGCCCGCACTACATGGGGGTGGGGTGTAGCCCCGGGGGGGGGCCGAGGTCGGGCCAAAACTGCAATATCGCAGTTTGGCCCAGGGGGTGCAGGCTGCGGCTGCGCACCCCCCTGTATTTTTTATTATTATTTTTTTTTTTTGATTTTTTTTTTGATATTTTTTTTTTTTGTACTTTTTTTGCTGGGGCCAGGGGTGCCGACCCCCGGCCCCCGGGACCCCCGCCGGGGCCCCGGGGCCGGGGCTCGACAACCCTGCCACCTGGTCCCAAAAATGGTCCCAGATGGTCCCAAACTCAAATGTCGTTGTACCACCAGATGGTCCCAAACTCAAATACCGCTTGCTCCGCACGCTGTAAAAAAAATAAAGGTGGCTCTGGCTCAAAACCGCTTATGCCGCGAGCCCCAATAAAGATGTCCTTCCGGCGCAAACCGCAAGCGCCGCAACTTTAATAGCCACTGCCGTGAGCACTCACTCCGTGCTTTCTTCATGCCGCCGGCCCATGCACTACTGCCGCACAGACCCAATCATGCACCAGCGTCAGCCTAACCTCTAGGTCACATTGGAATCCACCATAACCACTGCGCACCACAAAAAAATAAAAGCGGAACTGCCACTCGCCGTGCCGTCAAAACCGGTACCATGCCGCCATATCAAAAAATTGGCAGCAGTTTCCCATCGGAGTGCCGCCGCCGTGCCAAAAATCTGACAGCGTAACCTCACAAAAAAAATATCGCCGTTGTATCATGCCACCAAATGGACAACTCTCCCCTTAGAGAGACCTTGATGCCGCCACGCCGTCAGTCCGGCAGCACCACCCCACACTCACGTTAAAAAAAACCTTCAATGCCGCGTGGCAAATCTTGTAGCACCTTCCCTTAGGAAGGTCTTGATGTCGCGGCAGCAGTCCAGCAACACAACCTTACTAGAATAGGTGCCGCTTGTTGCACCGTTCGGATCCTGACGCAGCCCACTGGCCGCAACACTAGCACAGGGACGGGGCAGTGAGCCTCCAACCCGTGGCTATGGCTTCCCTGGCCACACTCCTCCAGCAGCATCTCCCCTCATCCTGCAGACCTCCACTTCCTCCACCAGCAGCACTTCCGCTCTACAGAACATGCAGCAGCCAGCCAGCATTCACACAAGTGAATGCCCCAGCAACACTACCACAAATGTGAGGCTGCTGGGTGGAGTGCTGGCCTTTAGCCGAAGGCATGTGGGCAGCTGCTTTGCCCATAGCCAGGCAAAATTCATCGGTGCTCCTGGCCCTTGATCTAAATCAACGGCTAAGAGCCTGGTGCCTTGGTTTTCCTCCACCTGGCCTGGGAAAACGGCCAGGTACTTCTGGAAATGGTTGTACTCAGCCATTCACTGCATGTTCAAATGAATAGACACAGTCCCATCAGCCCCTAGAACCTTCTAGGGGCTGCACATGTTCTAGACCGCGACCAAATTCGTGGCCGTTATTCTCCTTTTTTTTTTTTTTTTTCCTAGTTGAGGGGTAGCTTGTCGTTCAAAAACGAACGAGCACCCCTTCTTTTCACGAAGGTGAACTAGAGTCAGGCTTAGCAGGGTCTTCCTCCCCCAGCGCGCCCGTACCTGGCTCAATTTAGGCGCCACGTCCGGGCGCCCCTTCAAACAGCCGCTGTAATATGCCACAAGGAAGGGGAGGAAAAGCCGAAGTATGGTAGTGTATACTCCCCTGTTCTAGTGAAAGATCCCTTCGATTATGCTCATCCTATCGATGGGAATACCAGGAGGCCAGTCGTGAGGTTAGAGACTTACCTGTTGGCCGCTGCGTTGGACATCGCCTGGAATCTAACCGGGACCCGGCTGTCGCCAGATCCTTCTCTTCCTTCCCTCTCTATCCCGTAGTAGTAGCAGTAGTTGTAGGGGTAGGTATATTTCCATGTCTAGCGGTAGATATGCTCGACTTGCACATCCTATTGATGGCAAGTCTGCCCGTTCGTTGAAACGAACAGGCAGTTCGGGAAATCACGAACCAAAAGAAAAAACACGAAAACAAAGAAAATTTAAAGAATACCCCAAAAAAAAAATCTAGCTAAACAAATCTAAAGAAAATCTAAAAGAAAAACCTAAAGGAAATCTAAAAAGAAGAAGAAGAGAAAAAAAAAAAAAAGAAAAAAAAAAAGAAAAAAAAGAGACAGTTACCTTGCTGCAGAAAAACGGTCGCTCGTTTTCATGGGCGACTGTCAAGCGCTTCCCATCTTAGTGTTTTTTTTTTTTTTTTTTCCCCGTTTACCCTGTTGGCATTGGCCAACGGTCACATCACGGATCCCCCTTCGCAAACGGTTGAAAAACAGACTGGAGTTCGAGTCCTACGGGACTCGCAACATTTCTTGATTTAAGCGTGTCATCCTTGCGCAGACGCCATGTTTACTCGCGCGACAGATCTCAGCTGCACGATCTTGATGATCGCGCGACTGAAATCGGCTGTGCCTAACTGCTTGGGCTGCTCCAAAGAGCTGGCCCAGTAGGATGTGTGCAGCCGGGCTTGATCCCGGTATCTGCTGGGCAAAAGTCTGGCACTGTAACCTGCTGGGCTAGCTCCTATCACGGTAGTGATAGGATCAGCTCTTCTATAAGAAGAGCTTCACCCCAGCCATTCTCCCTGCCTGTGCCCTTGCAGGCCCTGCCTGCCTGAGGCTCTGCAGATCCTGCCTGCCTGAAGCCTAATAAGCTTTGCTGGCAGGCCCTGCCCCGTCGGTTGGCCGCGTGACCTCGGCATCGGCCTATCAACGCCCTGGCTCGATGTCAAACCCTGCGGTCCAGGAAATAAAACCCCTTCTACCTATTCCCCCTGCGCCGCGGCTCTATACCCTGCGCATCCCTCTTTTTAGCCTACTTAGCCCCTGAATCGCGCGGCTGCCAAGCCGCGCGACATTATTTTAGGTAGAATAGGTCTAACTTCAGCGTTCCCATGTCCGCACGTTCCTGCGGCTTCGCCAAAAGCGAAGCATTGCCAGTTACTGTCGCTACTCTCGGACGCCACAGGCGCCCGAACTAAAGCTCGAAAACTTTTAGTTTTTCAGTCATAGGTCAGGTCTGAATATACTTTTGCGCAGTTTATTTTTTGGTGAGTGCCATGACACAACGGGAGATTTCGGCTACAAGAAGACTAGTGCTAACTTAGTGCAGCGATTCTGGTGGCCTAACATGCTGGACGATGCAAAGAAGTACGTACAGACCTGTCAGGTCTGTCAGCGGGACAAGCCGCGGACTCAAGCTCTGCTTGGGTTACTCAAGCCTCTACCCATTCCTGCTGGCCCAGGGCAGAGTATCTCCATTTCATGGATACTCTCGTGACCAGCAAGAATGGCAAAAGGCGTATCTTCGTCATAGTGGATAGGTGGGGTAGGAGGGCGATCAGGTGGTCTTCAGGGAAGGAGGCACAGTGTGGGGTAATCAAGGTCTGATTGAGGGTGACGAGATACGTACCTGGTGCATGAAGAGAGGTCGGCTATGGTGTTGACAATCATGTACATTGGTCTTCGAGAGCCGAAGTGAGCCCGTTGCGTGAACTAGCTGTAGGTAGGATAGTCGGGCAGAGTAGGCTGGGCGCTGGGCGCCAGACAGGAGAGGAGCGACTTTGGATACTGTGTTGGTGTGGCCTACGGGCTTGAACATTGGCTCATTACTTCATTGAATTGCTCTATGTGGATGGTTTCTCGGTGCATTTTGTACTCTCTGCTTGGAACACGACTACCTGGACATCTGTGTGATTTCACAACTCGGTTTTCTGTATATCGTTCACACTCATATTCCTTGCAAATGTAAATGTGCTGTTGCCTTTTTCCTTCGTTTTCAGGTAAAGTTAAGACTTTAAACAACCGTTACATTCTAAAAATTGGGCGAAAAGCAGCCCAATGGTCTCCAGCTCCAACCCCTAAAGAGAGAGAGAAAAATCTGTATCTGTCAGATCATCCATCCAGCGAACGGACCAACTGAAACCTTCATGGTTGTGAAAGGTAGTGGTGCTTTAAGGATTATGTTCAAGTCTTAGAGAAAGAAGGGAGGAGGGGGAGAGAGGGGGAGGGAGGGGGGGGGAGGAGGGGAAGCAGAGGAGGAGAAAATCTAGGGTTTAAGGTTTGGGGTTTGGTTATGGTTTGATTGTTTGAACATTGCATCAAATTGCGACCTTGTACATTTTTATAAGTTTTCTCTGTAATGGTTGCGTGATGTTGTTATGGTTATCAGGCCGGATGCTCGCCTGGCATCCATTTTTGTCGATGCCCAGCCGCATGTTATCGTTTGTACTCAGGAAAGGCCATGGTCACTGACGGTTTCACAGTCCATGTTCGTTGGTGACCGCTTTGATCCCCTGGACGAATGGGATGCTTCCAAGTGTACTGTTGTTACGATTCCAGCAGATATCATGGAACCGAATGACCCAGAGGATGAACCAGAAGAAGAAGAAGAAGAAGCTATCGAGGGGGTGGAAAAATGGAGAGCACCTTCCCTCTCCCACAATCGCGATTTCTGCTACCTTCTGTATACGTCAGGTTCCTCTGGCAAACCGAAAGGAGTGTGCGGAACTGAGGCAGGTAGGTGTGTGTCTGTCAAGTCAGCTTGCTAGGTTCTGTGGCTTTCTCATTCTTCTTCAGGAAGATTGCTTGCTAATTCAGGCAACTGGCTATTAAAACCGTCTTGCCGCAGTCCTTGTCATCCTCTTCCTCCTCCTCCTCCTTCTAGCCTTCTCCTAATTTCCTGCTGTTGCTCGCCCTCCTCTTGCTGCTGCTTCTCCTTCTCCTACCTTTTCTCCTGCTACATCATGTGCTTTTTCTTGTCCTTCTCTGGTTCCTGTTTGTGCCTCCTTCCATACCCTCCTTCCATGCCTCCATCCATGCCCTCCTTCCATGCCATCCTTCCATGTCTCCTTTCATGCCTCCTTCCACCCGTGCTGCTTTCTACCCCTCCTTCTATGCCTTTTTTTTTCTTCTAGGCAAGCCAAGCTTACAGTCACATGTGCTGTTCGCAACAGACATGGAGGCTGAGTCAATCTATATCATTGGAGGGCAAGGCCAAACCGACCCTCTTTGCCCTGGGTGGAAAGTGCGGTGGATGCGGGAGTGCGGTATGCCCCTTGATAAGTCATGTAGCGGAACCAGGATAAACGCGCTGGGGAATGTGCGCTTTTTTTTTAGCTTAGCTTTGTCCGTGTGGTTATGATTGGTCGTTCTGTTTGTGCATGGACTCGTGGTGACTGGCCTCGCTCTATTTAAATCCTTCTTCTTCTTTTTTTTGATTTTTTTTTTTTTTTCTAGTTCTTCCCCCTCCTCTTCTTCTTCTTCTTCTTTTTTTGTTTCTTTCCATGCCTCCTTCCATGCCTCCCTTCCGTGCCTCCTCCCCTGCCTTCCATTCCCTCTTCCCATTCCTCCTTCCGTGCCTCCTCGTGTGGCTTCTTTCCATGCCTCCTTTCAGGCCTCCTAACCATTGCGGCTTGCATGCCTCCTCCCGTCCCCGTTCTTCTTGCTGCCGCTGCCTTTGCTTCTGTGAGTAATCTGAACCGTACTGTTCTTGTGTTAACCTCTTAGAGATGGACCCTCTTCGATCACTCTCCTTTCTCCCTTTACACGTTTGCTCTTTTGCCCTCTCGCTTTTTCTGAGTTTCGCCTTCTTCTGAGCCTGAGCTGGAATCTGAATCATACAAGCAGCGAATCAATCGCTTGCAGTCTCAGGCAACATAATGATGTGCGTTTGACTTGGGGGTTTTGATGTCACACAAGGGTTGGTGAACAGGCTGAGCTGGATGCACAAGAGGTGGCCATATAAAGATCACGAAGTCTGCTGCTTCAAGACGGGCATAGGGTTCGTTGATCACTTGACGGAGGTGAGATGAAGTACTGTTCGTTGGACCTTTCAATTGAATCCAATGGTCGTCGTCATCTCGGCTCCGACTCTCTGTTCTTGATTGCTTTTTTGGAGGTGATTGTATGTCAGCACTGAGCACTGAGCACCAAACAAAAGGACAGATAAAATATAAAGCCGAGTATGTGAAGTATTCCTTTTTTTCTTGGGGGTGGGGGGTGGGGGGTTGGGAGGGGGGAAATCAGAGTATTCCAGTTCCTCTTGTTTATTCGTGACTGGGGTTGAAAATTGGTGGTCCTTAAAAAGAAAAAGAAAAAGGAAAAAAGCTAGGAGGATTCTCACGCCCGACCGCTCTTGCCCGGGCGTGCAAAAAAAAAAAAAAAAAAAACTTTTTTTTTTTGGTTTTCTGCGCTCTCCCAGAGGACCCCAAATCCGGGCTCAGTTCTTTTTTTGCAAGTTGGTTGTCAAGGGGGTGGGAGGGGGGTATAAATTGGCTTTAAAGGGGCTAAAGGGGTTTAAAAGGGGGTGCCTTTGTGTGATTCTGTTATTTTCTTTTTTATCTCCGATTCTGTGAGGAATTATACTGTGACCCTCAGCCAAAAGTCGTTTGTATTTCAATTCTACACAACAATTTTTTTTTCCGGATTTTTTTTTTTTTTTTTTTTTTTAATGTGCTGGGACTGCCCGGAACCGTGCCCGGGGGTCATGCCCGGCCGGGCACTCGGGCGTGTACCCGGGCAGAAATTGGGTGCCCGGGTGCACAGAAAAACAGCCTAGGAAAAAAGTTTTAAAAAACTGGAAAAAAAGTGTCTTTGGCCACTCACTCAGCCTGTGTGCTTATCCCCTCTGGATGTATGTATTTGGGTTGAATTGAGTTATGATCTAAATCAGTGGAGTGCGTTCTGTTTGAAAAAGAAGGGGGATATCCCCTAAATTTATTGTAGTGTTCATCTGCTTCCATCAGGATTCCAACTCATGCTCTGTTTACCAACGGTTACGTATTTGTACGATTCTGCCACATGGGCAGGGTAGCGGAGTACTTCCTTGTTCTGAGGGAACTGGTAATCAACATGAGAGCGACAAGTGCTTAGCCTAATGAATTAAAAAAAAAAAAAAAAAAAGAAGTAAAAAAAAAAGGCGATCAGTGAGGTGGGCACTGGACGACACCTTACGTGGAGCTCATGGCACGTGCTGTGCACCTAACCTGCACTCACACACACACACACACACACACACACACACATGTGGCCAACCTTGCAATTTTACTATTTGGTGTATCTATAATGATTCTATATTCTTTTGTTTAATGGATGATTTGTGGAGGAGGGGTGGGCAGGGGGTATCGGGGAGTTCGGGGGGGGGGGGGGGGGGGGGGGGGGGGGAGGGAGCTGGGAGGAGGTCATGGGCGGGGGGGGGTGAGGGAAGGGGATGTTGTGGGGGGAATTGAGGGCTTGCCAGAGTTAGCAGGGCTGGGGGGGTACGTTGGGAGGGTCGAGGGGGCCTAGGGGCTGGGGTGTTGGGGGCGCGTTGGTGCATGTTGGGGGGCGTTAAAAGGTGGGATTAGCAGTGGGGTTGGGGTGGAGTGTGGGCTGGAGGGGGGATGCGGGTTGGGGGGAGTGGGGGTAGGCATGGGCCTTGAGGAGGGGAATTAGGGGATGGGAGGGGGGTTGGGGCCGAGGAGTGGGAGGATAGGTATGTGGAGAGGGGTAGGGTCACTCGAGGAACTAGCAGCGGTAGGGGTCAGAAGTGGGGCATGGGGTGCAGGGGGTGGTGCATAGTTGGGTGGAGAGAGAGAGAGAGAGAGAAACCACAAGCATCAGCTGGTGTAATCATCCACTCCCTCAGCCAGAAAGTTACAACCGAAACCACAAGCATGCGCCTACTCACAAACTGCGACACACATTACATCCTGCATTATTATTATTATTATGATTATGAATTTATGATTATGATGATGATTATTATTATTAATTTATTATGATGATGATTATTATTATTAATTTATTATGATGATGATTATTATTATTAATTTATTATGATGATGATTATGATGATTATTAATTAAAAAAAAAACCATTCTCATCATGGGAAACCAGTCACTTTGGCTTCTCTTTTCCAAATGTCAGTGTATTGCCGTCAGCACACCACATGTGCTCCAAGCTTTTGTTCATCCTTCAAAGCTTTTTGATCCATTTCTTTTTGTTGCTGTCGTCGGAAATTCTTATTGTTGTGGGTGGAGCTGTGCTGGCCGATCATTTTTTTCTTTCTTTTCGTTGTAGTAAATTTTGACTACATCATTACAGTACTCCTTCATGGAATTCGGAGTCTTTTAACCACCACTACCTCCGAGCCTCTTTTTGCCGAGTCGGATTCCCCCTGCGTGCCAATCTATGTCAAAATGCCAGCACATTGTTTTTTTCTTTTTTTCCTTCGCGTAGTGCCGCCAACCATTTTCGTCCACTAGCACTGTTCGTGTGAAGTCTTCGGAATATTAAAGTTTTGAATCTCGACGTTCCCTGGGAAAGTTAGCAGTGGTTTTAACTTTTAACTTTGAAAGTTTTAACTCCAAAAGTTTTTTTTTTTTTTTTTTTTTTTAACAAAACAGCCCCTTCTATTCTGGGGGGCACCAGTCCGGTTGCTTATCACCGGCAAGCCTGAAAACCACAGTACAATTTTGATTGTAAGAGAAGAGGAAGGCCTTACCCTTGCAGCCCTAGACGCCTATCAAGGGGGGGACTGCTACAACCAATCCCACTTCCCATACCATAGCCTCCCCAGGGATATCTCTGTTGGTCGGGAAGCTTCCTAGCAGCACCCAGCCACACAACAGATGGGTTAACTCCAAGATTTTTTATTTTTTTTGAACTCCAAAAGTTGCTTTAATTTGAACTTTTCACACAGTTTGTGAACTCCAAAGTTCGAACTTCAGAGTTGTACAAAAAAAAAAAAAAAAAAAAAAAAAAAACACCTTGATCCGGATGCTGTCTGTGTGATGTCGATCCAGATGCTGGGACCAGTGCTGCAAGGGATCCCGTTGGTGATTCCCAATCAGTTCCGTCTGGCTGGTGACCCAATGTCACTGGTGGCATACATACAGGTAGGTGAGTTGGTCACATGCACACCCAAAATGATGATATCTTAGGGTATACAATACTATACAATACTATACAATGTAATATGTATACATGTGTGTACTTTCTTGAACGTATCTGACTGTGGCTGTGGCCAGATTCAGTTGATAAAGAATTGGTGGAGTATGCTGCTTGTCTAATCGAAGTGAGTAGGTGTCATGCCACACACAGTCACATCCAGATCCTGATATCCTAGGGCATATGATGCAGGGCTGGATCATGCCACACACAGCATACATGTGTGTAAAAATCTCTTGAATGTATCGGACGGATTCGGACCACACGTGTGGGCAGATGGAATCGACAAAGCGTTGGTGTGAGTATGCTCCTTGTCTACTTGGGTGAAGCACAAAGTTCACCCTGGTGATGTCTCCCCACTCTCTGACAGTGTTCGGAATGAAAAACCCCTATATCGTAGTTCTTATCTAGTATTAGGGCATCGCCACAGCACTCTCGAAATGTGCCAAATGAGAATGAACTTCCCGCTCGAACATGGCCAGATGCACCCGCCACATTTTGGTCTTTTTCACATTTCGAGAGCGGTGTGGCGAGGCCCTTAGACTACTGTAGGAGGCTTATTGGGGAAACACAGGGCTCTCGAAATGTGCGAAATGAGAATGAACTTGCGGCTAGAACATGGCCAGATGCAACCACCACATTTTTGTCTTTTCCACATTTTGAGAGTGGTGTGGCGAGGCCCTTAGACTACTGTAGGAGGCTTATTGGGGAAACACAGCGCTCTCGAAATGTCTTACGGACCATCCTCGAGCATTCCTAAATGATGCAGCATGGCTTCAAGATTCAAATAAACAACTACTGTAGGAGGGTAATTGTTTGATTGAAATTTAATAATTTATTCAAATTTATTGGCACAGACTGTTCTGTTGTCAGACATGCATTTCAAGAACTGTCTGTGGCAATAAATTTGAATAAATTATCGAATTTCAATAAAATAATTACCCTCCTAGTTGTTCATTAAAGCCATGATGAAGAGAGGAAGGAGAAGCAGAAAGAGGAGAGGAGGAGAAGAAGAAGAAGAAGATGACGAAGAAGAAGATGATGATGATGATGATGAGGAGGAGGAGGAGGAAGAGGAGAGGAGGAAAAGTAGGAGCAAGAGCTGATGGAGAAGGGTTGGAAAGGTGAGGGGGAAAAAATGAATGGATTTTCGTTCGATGAATTTATGCGTATCCAACGTCGCTCGCTCCCATCGCACTCAATGTGACTTAAAAGAAGTCCCCGTTGTTGTATGATCAACAACAGTTCTTAGTGTTTTTTTTTTGTTTTGTTTTTGTTTTTGTCTTTTTCACTTTTGTTTTTGACTGTGCACAATACATGCATGGCTGACAGACAGGCCTATGCCATCACGCGACTTGTTGCTGTCCCATCGCTGATGAGGACGATACTTCCAGCTCTGCGGGAGCGCTATGTGAAGCGTGGTGAAGCATGTACTCTTCAACATCTCATCTTGAGTGGAGAGGCGCTCTCTTGGTCCTTGGTGAGGGATTTAAGGACAGTTCTTCCTCAAGACTGCCACATTCTTAACTTGTATGGCAGCACAGAGGTTAGTGTTCTTTACTTTCATGATTCATCCCCTTTTTTTTTTCTTTTCTTTTTTTAACATGTGCTGATTTTTTTGAATTTTTGAATTTTTTCCCCTTTTTTTGGTTGTAACTTTTCTCTTTTTTTTTTCTTTTTCTTCTCTCTTCTCTTTTGGCTTCCTTATCTTTTTCAAGGAATTCCTTCTGTGACCCTCCCAAACTACGTACAGAGTGTACATACTACATATTTATTAGGGTCTTGCTCCACTGCACAACATTGTACATGTATCTAGAGCTGGTAATGGTCCGAATACATTCAAAATATTCTACCAGTACGAGTGAATTTTGTCCATATTACAGACTGGATATGAATCAAAGGTTGACTAGTGGATCAAGGCCTATACTTTCAGCCTTCAACTTGAGTAGTGGAGCAATGAGTGCCATCCATCATCTTCACGGTCATTGTTGCGATCGTCACCAGTTGCAGTTGTGAGCTGTCGTCATCTGGTGTTGTCTGCAGCATGTCGAGAGCCAATGCCTTGGCTTTCATTGAAGCCCAATCACAAACATAGTGATGTTCGTAGAGTCATGTGCTTTTAATGGGAACCCTGCTTTCCTTCCCCTTGCCTAGTCTAATCCCTGAGAAAAACCACCTCTCCCTCTGCTCCAGTTCCAAGCGACAGCTGATCCTCATGAAACCTATCTGGGTGGTCGCTCCCGAGTCCCAACCCACACTTGGCGACAGCTGATTGAAATGAAACCTGTCTGGGTGGTCCCCGTCCGATCCGCAATTGACGACAGCTGATCATTGTCAAACCTATCTTGGGGTCGTCCCTGCCTGTCCGACCCACAATTGATGACAGCTGATCGAAATGAAACCTATCTGGGTGGCTCCTCTCAGACCCACAATTGTGGGTCAAAGAGAGGCAAGCGGGACAGTTGAAACCAGTACCAACCAAAAGTGACCTCTACTGTAGGGGTGGCAAGCGGGACCAGTTCTCTCTCTCTCTCTCTCTCTCTCTCTCTCTCTCTCTCTCTCTCTCTCTCTCTCTCTCTCTCTCTCTCTCTCTCTCTCTCTCTTGAGAATGAGACATAGGAAGGCATAGAGAGGCAAAACCGCTGGTCACAGTTGGGAAACCTGCTTCCGATGAGCTGATTGGCCTCCCTGCGTTTCTGTTCGACTTTTATTTTTGATTTTTCTCGAGAATGAGACCTAACAATCTGTGGAGAGAAAGCAAGTGCTCAGACTTAACAGCAGCAGTGTATCAATTGCTCGTATTTTTCAAAAGCTTTTTCCCCTGACTCAGCTGACTGTCTGATAATCTGTCGATTCAACAGGCGTCAGGGGACTGCCTGTATTACAGTGTTCCGATCGCAGAGAGGGAACGGAGGAGGAGTCTTCAGGAACTGCATGTCCCAATAGGCAGGGTGAGTTTACTGTGTTTATCTTTTTGTCTCCGCTGCTACCTCCTCCTCCTCCTCCCATCTCCTCCTCCTCCTCCTCCTCCTCCTCCTCCTCCTCCTCCTCCTCTTTTTTTCTTTCAAATCTGTCTTCACGCTCTACTTCATCAACGTGGCGGGCCTT